TAACTCATTTTGAACTAGTAGAAATGTATTATTTGAGTATTATGTGTTGTAATGCTTATTTTTGTGGCTTAAATGAATGAATAAAAATGAGCGTCAGAAATAAATATTAAATAAAGCCGATATCTAAGGATAAAGTTGTAGTGGTCGAACAAGGATTTCGGAGATATAAAGAGTACGGAAATCCGCGTTATAACGAAGGAGTTATGACCTGTCGAAGTTTCGCGACAGAACCGGACGACACTGTATGACGTAAAATATGAATTTAAGATAGAGCGATATCTAGCCTTAGTATACTAAACGAAAGTCGTGGAATACGTTAACCGAGAGCGTGCATAAAAAGAACGTCCAAATCTGACTTCGTATGAGGAGTTATGATTTTTTCTAAGTTTCGACTTAGCGGTATACAACCCAATTCTCGAAATTGAGATCGAGTGATATTTGGCCAAAACAATCTAAACGAGTATCGAAGATCTCGTCGTTAGTAGTCCAATGGTAAAAAGACAGACGAAAACGGACGTCGGAAGAATAGATTATGATTTTTAACGGAGTTTTCCTGTCCCGGCCTACTAAAAACATATAATAAAAATAAGTTAAAATTAGCTGACGGAGTCTAAATGAAAGTTGTAGAGCATGTCTCACCTACGCGTGGATATAAGAACGTCGAAAAACGGAGCTCGTATGCGAGGTTATGAAATTTTGAAGTTCGAGGCACGCATACCAAAGCTTATCCGAAGAGTACGCCCATCGTAACCGAAGTACGCCCATCGTACTGCTTGTAGAGGCATGACGCCCCAGCGTAATCAGGATTTATGCCCAGCGTAAATCGGGGTTTTCAGCCCCTATAAAATAGAAGTCGTGGGCTGCCAAATTTGGTTGCTCATTTCTTCTCTCTCACTCGTTTTACGTGCAAGCTTTACCCCCGAACCCCGGTATCATTACCGACACCCGAAGCAAGTCCCGACGCCCCGAGGATCCCGAGAGTAAAGTTTCCCGACCGAAACTCTGCCCGCGAGAAGCCCAGTTTTCAAGAAAGCATCCCGGTTTCACCGAAGAATACTACTCTTAGAGTCGTAGTGCTGTCCAATCATCTTCTGATCAAGTGAGTGTGTAGTCACTTTCTTCTAACACATAGATATGAAGTATTCTTTATAAAATACGTGCTATGTGTTTATATATTATTTGTTTATTGAAATAATTGTTGAATGAATAATTGCACATGTTTAAGTTGTATATAAATTTATATTTTTATCTACTAATATGTTGGGTAAACATGGGTAGACATTGGTGTTGTGATGAAATAAATTATGAGAGGCTCGTTGTTTTGCTGATTCAGTCATCTAGCGGAGTTTAAATGACACCACAGACTTTTCTAGACAGTTCAGTGGAACGCTAGCAGACTCATAACCTGTAGGTGTTAATGAACTTGGGTGTTCATTTGATGTACTCCATCCCCCCATGGTTGCCTTATTTGACATAAATTGCTGGGAAACCCCCAAAGCAGTGTTGTCCTCCCGATGAAAATCCTTAGCTAGGTCCCCTTGGGTCATGTTTTTTTAGGGACGTAAAGTGAGGATAACGGGAATGAGTAATTGGGTTATTATTGGTTGATGAAATTTAATATAATCATTATTGTGGGGTTGAAACCCTATATGCTCACCAGGCTCCCAAACCTGACCCAACTCAGTTTTTCTTTGTATTACAGGTAGTGGCACGAGAGCATAAGTTGGATGCCTTGTCAAGATATTTTTGATTATAGACCACGTTAAATATAACTGGTGTAAGGGTCTATTTTGTATTGTTATGCTTTTTGGTCTGTATCGGAACATGACATCCCAAGATTTTGTTATATAATGAAAATACATTTCTTTAAGAAATGCTTTGATAATTTGTTTTTCATATTTGTTTTGCGAACAAATCCGCAACTCTTTTAATCAAGGATTCTCTGATTTTACTTTAAAAGCATAAATTAATCGTCTTTTCTTTCTGACCGTGAAATTGGGGATGTCACATTTCAGGTACTTCAGAGGATGGCGGAAGGCGAAGGCGTGATCGTGCACCTCCTTATATTTTGTTTAACGATTTGGGATTTCTCTGATGTGAAACTTATTTTGAAAACAATTTGTAAACAATGATGGTTTTTGGTTTATTTTAAAAGTTTAAATTTTCAAGAATTTTACGAATGTTACACTTGGGATGAAAAGGCAACTAAATATCTTAAGCTGTTAGGAATCTAGCGAACACGGCGTGTTGGCTGAAGATTTCCCGTCTGTGGAACTGTTCGTGAACACGACGTGGTAAAAAGAGAACACGACATGTTGGTTCAACCCAAACCGTTGACCTTGACTTTCACTTTGACTTTGACCAATTTGACCTTGAGGGTATTTTGGGTATTATGTGGGGGTCATTTCATGGTTGTAAGCATTTGAGTTGTGAGCTAGGATTCAGAGTCAGGCCTTATCAGTTCTGCATCGCTTGTGAGGTGAGTTTTCCTCACTGTACTGTCGGGTCGAAGACACCAAGGCGACCCTTTGGTTTGATAACCTGATATTGTTGATATGACGAGTATGGAATTGATTGCATGCTAGTCTTGATATGTTAGTCTTGGTATGCTAGTCTTTATATATTAGTCTGGTATATCTATAGGACCTACCTGTGATACTGTCTGTTTATCTGAATATGTTATTATCTGTTATATGTCGACATATGTGTGGATTGGGTTGAGGTTGTACTGCTCTGTGTTGTATCCAACAAACCCATGAGCAAGCCATATATGAGTTGAGGCCCGGGAAGGGCATGCCAGACTCATACTGAGGGCTCATGAGCATTCCAGATACGAGCTGAGGGTCGGGAAGGGCATTCCAGACTCGTACGAGGGCTTAGTGGTATTCTGTATGAGGACTGATCAGGTCGGGGAGCAAGCCAAATATAAGTTGTGGGCCAAGAGGCAAGCCAGACTATGTTGTGGGCTCAGGGGCAATCCAGTCTGTTAGTTGTGGACCCATTGCATGCTGTTATTGTATCTGTGTTATTTGTTACATATTGGTATTTTGGGGGAACTCACTAAGCTTTGGGCTTACAGTTTTGGATTATGTTTCAGGTACCTCATAGGATCGCGGAAAGGTGAAGGCATGATCGTGCACCCCCTCATATTGTGTTTTATGATTTTGGGGAAAACTCTGATGTCTAAACTATTTGAAAACTATAATGTAAACAATTATGATTTTTGGTTGGTTGAAAAAGTTTAAAATTTTATGATTTTTTACCAGTGTTACACTATACTATGTATTAAAGTCTATATCCCTGTATGTCAGGATATAGGAGTAGGGTATGTTGGGTAGAGTACCAATAGGATTGGTAATCGTCTAGTGGCGTGCCCTAGGGGCTGTAATGTAACCATGTAGATAGCCTGAGAACTCTTGATCTAGGTTTTCTTGCTTGGTCCTTGTTTGGTGTGGCTTTAGAGTGGGATCACCTGTTTGAAAGTCTATCTCTCACCGCTGGTTTACATATAGATATGCATTCCTTAGAGATCTTTTTGTAGTGGCATAGTGTACTGTATGAGGCCTGGTTTGTGGTTGTGAGCCTGATAGAAAAGTAGACTAGTGTGGATAGTTGCTTGTGTGTTATGTGTTTAACTTTGATTTCTTGATTGTTACATATGTCGACATATTGGTGGTGGTTGAGGCGGTTCTTCTTTCTGTTGAAGGCCAAGATACCCGGGCTGGCCAGTGGTATGTTGTAGCCAGATGTGGTTCAGGCGTATGCTGAGAGAGAGAGAGAGAGAGGTCCAGGTGTATTATACGCCTTGCGAGACAGTCCAATAAAACTGTAGGCTCCAGAGAGCGATCCCACATGTTTTAGCCCTTGCGAGGCGGGCCAGACAGACTGTAGACTCGGTAGAGCGGTCCAGACATCTTGTAGGTCTTGCAAGGCGGTCCAGACAGACTGAAGGCTCATGTGTGTAGCATTGTATGTATATTGTAGTGTATGATATTTTGGGGGACTCACTAAGCTTTGGCTTACAGTTGTGGATTAAATTTTTTTTTCAGGTCGCATTGGTGATCGTGGGAAGGCGAAGGCATGACTATATACACTCATCAACAACAATGAAGATTTTGCATTATTTATATTACTTTGATTTTCAAACAATTGTATTTTGGAACAACTTGGTTTTCATAACTTAGGTTTTACGTAATGGTGATTTTACCTTAGTTAATGAAAATTTGCTTGTGAAAATGGGGCGTTACAGTTTCCATGGATCGATTTAATAACAACATATGCCAAGGGAATGTCCTGATCTATAATAATATATTCCATTAGTTATTAAACGATGACAAATATGCATATATATATTGACCTTGTTTCAACAACAAAACTTTATAGAGTTATTGATCAGGTTCTCATAGCTTAAAGTAAACCTAGAACACCTTTGTGATTCAACAATGGCTTCAAGTACATTATATGCAAAAAGGAATGCTCTTATCAATTCTTGCATTTATGAGTTTGTACATGGTTTTTATTCATTTAAATTTCATTTGATTTTGTGGGTGTGGTTTTCGTTTGAGTTTCTGGGTTTGATTTGTCATCAGTTGTTGGGTCTTTTATGGTTTGATTATCGTTTGTTTGATTTTCTGGTTTTGATTTGCGTTTAATATTATGGATATGGTGGTTTTTTTTGTTTTAACATTAGTTGTGAGTCTTTTTTGGTTTTGGTATTCTCGACGGTGGTGATGGCGCAGGTGGTGGTGGTGGATGATGGAAGAAGAGAGCGGAAAAAGAGTGGGCTGGGTGTGGAAGGGTATGATATTAATTTAATAATATAAAAGTCAATTTATATGTATCAAAACCAACCATATAAAAAAGTAAAATCCATGGACCATTGTATAGTGTTAGTGATAGTTATCTCAATATGATAATTTTTACAAACTACAAGGACGATCGTTAAATTTTGTCGAAGTAAATAAAAAAAAAAAGTGGTTTCATTGCCGATCGCAAAGTGTCGGCTTCTTAGCTAATAAGCGGGTCCCAAAATTTAGTCATAGAGATAAAGCATGTGAGGAGCAATGGCCATGTAGTTATCCCAGATCGAGTGGACTCTTCCATTTCAATTACTCTCTCAAGATCTTGCTAACTACTCCCAAATTCATTGTCCAGACGCTATAGTCTCATTCTGATACTGAGAAGTGCTGTCGGTATCAAATTAGGCGCCAATTGAAATTGAGAATTGAAGTTTGATTCAAAATACTTGTGTTGTTGTTGTTGTCTCCTTGTGTTGTTCCTAGAGACGGAGATCTTGATAGGGAATGGGAATGATGAGCTCAGATGAGAGAGCTGTTGCCGTGATCATGGTTGGTGGTCCTACAAAAGGTATTCTTAGTTCCTTATTAAGTAACTTCAATTGCTATCATAACTCAATCATATCAAATTTTACTATTTTTCATTCTGATTAGTAAGATAGTTGCTCAATCTTAGTTATGATTCACTGGATCTCGCTGCACTGCTGTAATGTAAATAGAAATTGTTTGTTTCTGTTTTGGATGGGATGTCGTCACATCACACCCCACGATCTGAATTTGCTCTTGATTTCTTTTGTAAATGTGTTTTTCAAAAGATGATCCGAGTAGAGTAAGATTATGTATGTTATATGTATCTTTCAGATTTCGAAGTGGAATTTTGATTGTGAAAAAGAGAGAAATTTTCTATTGTTTCTTTGTAACGGAATGTTGGAATTAGTGATTCTCGAATCTTCCTTTTGTTAATTGCAATTCATATTGGACAATTGACATATTGTTCTCTTTAGGTACTCGATTCAGGCCATTGTCACTAAATATTCCAAAGCCACTTTTTCCACTAGCAGGACAGGCAATGGTTCATCATCCAATCTCTGCCTGTAAAAAGGTAAAACTTTATCTGTTACTCAACAGAAGGCTAAAAAATTTCAATTGTTTATTGTTAAATTGTTAAATTTGGCCACACTTTTCTTCTTGGAAAGTATATATCTGAATCATGACAACAAAGTTTAATGGAATCTTATGCACAATTCTTTCTGTCATAGATACCAAACCTAGCACAGATCTATCTTATTGGTTTCTATGAAGAACGTGAGTTTGCCTTATATGTCTCCTCCATCTCTATGAGCTTAAAGTCCCTATCAAGTAACTTCATAACCATTTCTCTTCTTAATAATTTTACTTTCTCTTTGATGGTGTTAAACTTGAGCTTAGTTTCTCATCTTATTATTATGTTTTCCTTTTGGATCATCCTGAAATAGATACTTGAAAGAGGACAAGCCACATGGATCTGCTGGTGGACTATACAATTTCAGAGATCTCATCTTGGAAGATAACCCGGTTTTAACTTTTAACCTTTACCCTTCCTTTCTAATAAAAAAAAAAACTATCTTTTCAACTCCTGTTGAATGATAATGTTTTTTTCATAACATCACACATCTTCTTGCTGAATTGTGATGTTTGCTGCACTTTCCCATTGCCTGAGATGCTTGGTATGCTTTCTTTTTATACACCACATATCTTTATACAAAATTCTTTCATGTTGATATTCTAACATACACTGTCTATATATATTTTTTATAGAGGCTCATAAAAAATATGGTGGGATGGGAACAATCCTTGTAATTAAGGTTTCCCCTGAATCAGCAGACCAATTTGGGGAGCTTGTAGCTGATCCTAATTCCAATGAGTTGCTCCATTACACTGAGAAACCTGAAACTTTTGTACGTGTGGTTGACCAAAGTCAACAACTTGACATGTTAAACAGACTAATTAGTTATTTACTCTTTTGGTCTTAATTAATAACAAATCTAATCTACACAGGTTAGTGACCGAATAAATTGTGGTGTTTATGTATTTACACCCGAAATCTTTACTGCAATTCAAGGTGTTTCTACACAACGAAAGACAGAGGTTAGTTTTATAACTTATAAAAAATTACTATGTTTTTTTTTATTAACTGAATTCTGTTTCTTTTATTTGTTTTGCAGCTAATCTAAGACGTCAATCCGCTTTGAGGCATTACAGTCAGCAACAAGGTAGTACTTATTTTTGAATTTTATAAACAAAAGAAAGTATGCAAAATTTGTAAGAATAGTTTATCTGTTTAAACATTGTCCTGATATAAGTACATGTAACAGGAGTCTTCCTGCAAATTTTGTAAGACTGGATCAAGATATATTATCACCACTTGCAGGAAAGAAACAGTTGTACATATATGAAACTAGGGATTTTTGGGAACAAATAAAAACACCTGGGTAAGTCATAATAAATCCAAGATCCTTTATTTCATCTGTATAAATTATTAAATCCTCTAAATCATTTCTTGTTAAATTTATACAGAATGTCCTTGAAATGTTCTGGATTGTATCTTTCATTGTTTCGTTACACCTCACCCCATCTTTTGACTGAAGGAGATGGTTCAAAAAGTGCCACTATACTTGGTGATGTTTATATTCATCCCTCAGCAAAAGTTCATCCAACTGCAAAGGTAATTAATTACACTTTTTTTTTTCTTTTTAAATGAAGAATGTTTGTTATATGATACAGTTGTTGGTTTATTTTTCCTTAAATTTGCATAGATTGGCCCAAACGTCTCCATATCTGCCAATGCACGTATAGGAGCTGGTGTCCGGTTGATCAACTGTATTGTTCTTGATGATGTTGAAATCAAGGTATAGTAGAACACCATACGAGTGAGAGGGCATTTTCGTCTTTTTTCACATACGAGAGATCGAAAACAACTCTCTATCCCATCTTTCTTTGGCTCATATAAAAAATTGCAATTTTTGTCCCATTGACACCCATAGACAGTTAGTCACAATTTTTGTCCCATTGACACCAGTTATAGACACAGACAAATAGTCACTGTCACTGTCACTGACAGTTGATTATACAGTCACAGTCACAATTTTTGTACCATTGACATCAGTCATAGACACAGACAGTTAGTCACAATTATTGTCACTGTCACTGACACTGACAGTTGTTTACAGTCACAGTCACAGTGTTATTATTTAATCTCAGGAAAACGCGGTGGTTATTCATTCGATTGTTGGTTGGAAATGTTGTATTGGGAGGTGGTCGCGTGTCCAGGCTGAAGGATCTCCCAACGCAAAGCTTGGAGTGACCATTCTTGGTAACATCTTTTCTTTACAATCAAGAGTCTAAAATAGTCAAAGCTTTGACTCTAAAAATCAAATTATGATTTTGTTAATGTTGTATGAAATCCAGGTGAAGCTGTTAATGTTGAAGATGAAGTAGTGGTAATCAATTGCATTGTCCTTCCAAACAAGACTCTAAATGTTAGTGTTCAGCAAGAAATTATCTTATAACAAAGCAAGACGATTCAAACCCTAATTTATTTATATGTCCTCTCTTCATCGGATGGATGCCAAAAATAACAAGATGAAGTTATAGTATGGAGTGTGTATTCTTCTTAAACGTTAATGTCTATAGAAGTTTGTGTTTGGTTTTAATTTTTAGAAGCTATTGTATATGACAATTTGGGAAGCAAATGTTTATGTTTTATTTAGAATCTCGAGACAATGTTCATTCTCATACCCATCAACGTGTGCAGAATTAGTTTACTTGTTAAGGTAGTTACGAAAAACAATTATGATAATTTAACATTAAGAGAATATGTTACACTTTCATTTTACCATACCACTAAACATACTTAGCACCCATAATCCTTAGAGAACTCAATAAATTTACTTGACTTATCACAATCATGCGGTGTTTAAGAACTGATTCTACATTTGTTATGATCGATCATTCGTAGGGATGATAGATTGGTGGGTTCGAATTGCTTTAAGGAAGAGATTACTCGCCTTGAAACAATGATATTTTATTATCTTTTAGTCATTCGATTATAATGCTCAAAAATAATCCAAGATCAATTTGTAGATAAATCATGGCGTCCAAAAATCTCCAACAAATGCACATGTTTTTAAATACAATGTCACATTCATTATTCGCACGACGGGATTGAACGTGATTGATTGACTTGGCAATATCGGTCATGCAAAATGGGCAAAGAGTTTTTTTTCTTAACATTCGTTGGAATGTAAGAGACCTTGATATTTTAGATGTCATCAACATATTATCGGTTCATGAACACAATTTACCGATAACGACGCTCGAAGTCGTCAATTAAGTACATTCAACATATTTATATTCAACACAGTGACTTAGGAGGTAAAGATAATATATACATAACGAAATATTATGTAGTTGTAAAATGATCAAAATCATAATGTTTCTTTTGCAATGAGTTCTTTGGTGTACTCACCCTTTATGTGAATATGGTACTTTAAATGAGGATGTAAAAGTATGTCCGGTGGTAGGCAAGGAAAATATCGTCCCGAAAAGTATGAGTAACAGATTTTACGAATACCCATGTTGTAAATCTTCAACTTCAAGCATGTACATGTAGGAAATGACTGCAATCGTGATATATTGTGTGGTCATGTGTTCATGTTCTATTGATAGCATGATCTTTAACCTACACAAACTTTTACCATATGGTTAATGTTTATTGGATTTCAACAGTGCAACGAGCTACAAACCAATCAGAAACTGTGCATCCTCTACCGCTTTCATCTAACTAGAAAAATAACAAACATAATTATAGTTGTTTTAACCCCTATATAATTGAATAAATTGTGTTTGGATTTGGAATTATGAAAGGCAGTTGTTATCATTACTTCTTATTACATACCACAAATAACAAAAAGAAACTACAAATTAAAAATAAGGGACATGTTTAAAAATATTCCAAGTAGCTCCATGTGCAAAGTCAGCCCCGTCACTTTGCATTTTTTGCTCCCTATTCGCCTCCAAAATATCATATTTATCTACATTCGCCAATTCGTTTTTGATATTATGATAGATTTTGGGGAAAATTTCACCTTTCTTTTAGATCCTTAAACTTACTCTTAGTTATTCATTTGTTCGATGAGCGTTACGACCTAATTTAAGTGGATCCAAAGTGATCCTACAAGCAAATGTGGGAGAACAATGAGGATAACTTTTTTCGTAATGATATTCCAAGAAAGTGTGAGTGCGATCTCTTCCTCCTTGGTCCATGGAAGTGGTATATTTTCCACCATTTTGAGTTGAATAACTGAATAACAAAGGTGTAAAAACATTGGATTCCTAAGTCTTATTTATAAGGGAAAAAATAAAAAGTCAACATTTTAGACAAACATTCCAAAAACACTGCATAAGTACATTACATACACATACCTACTACTTTTAATATACACATACCTCCTAAAATTTACAACCTTCGACTCGCCACATACCACCTACCAATTAACTTTTATGTGATATCGGACCTCAGGACGTTTGTCCTTCGTTAACTGGCTTGGGTCTTAATGGAGATCTATATTACAACAAGAGAAAACAAGCTATTAGCTGGTATCCGGGAAACTCTCTTATGGTCAAGTTAGTCTCCAGGGGAGACATTGATGGGTTTCGAGCCTAGTCAAAGACCAAAATCATGGCAGCAAAAACAACAATTATGATCTAATAGACTCGAGACAACAGATGAAACTCAACAATCTATTCAACTCCTTAGGACATAATGAATAAAATCATACCTTTGCTTTCTTAGTAGGTTTCTTCTTTGATTAGCCGGTTGAATGGACTAGAGAACCCAATGGAGAGTTCCTCTCCTGTAATCGCACCCAAAAAAGCAAAATAGAAGCATATCTAAGCAATCCTCGAACTGTGAGTTGTAAACTGAATTGAAAACTCGATTCTGCAACCCACCACGACGTGGTGATCTAGGTGCCACTTCGTGGGAACTGCACTTCATGATTCTTTAGGGTTTTGAGGTTTCTGAACTTTGATAGTTGAAAGTTATTTTTCACTTGTGTTAAAACCGAATTTGGAGCCCTCTTTATATAGGGAGGTGATTTGAAACCCAATGGACAATTACCAAATATAATAATAATTATCTTTGGAATTCAAATCATTCTGGAATATTCTATATTTAATTATTTTCTAATTAATTAATTAAACTATTAATTAATTAACAAAACAAGTCCCTCACATAAATATCTTTTCAGTTATGCTTTATTTTGTTCTTGCGTGTAACCTAAAAGGACACTGCTATTTATAGAAATATTAACGAGCTTGTTATGGCTATATGCACCAATCTCCATCAACTCCCACTTGCACTTAAACATCAACAATTGACTGGTCTAATACTTACTAGGAACAACAGTGAGTGGCAGTCCAATGCAACTACTGTACTTATAACAACATTGCTATAAACAACCCTAAGACTGGTAACTTCAAATTCCTTTGATCTTCATGATATCTTATTATGAACTAGAGACATGGATCAAGAGTCAATCTCATGGTTCAAGATTATGTTTCCTGATACCGACTTGTGGTAACCTAGGGTAACCAAGGAAAAATAGAGTACTCAAATGAATCCACAATCCATACTCTCGGTTTGTGTGATTTCACTAACACCTACAGATTGAAAGTTTGCTAGTGTTCCACTAGACTATCTACACTAGTCTGTGGTCTCCATCAATACTCTGCTTGATGACTGATCTCTGTTGGGCATGGTCTCTTTGCCCTAACTCCGATATGGTCTCTCACCACTATTCTATCTCTGGTATAATTCTCACCATTATCTTTTTTTTCTTATGGTCTCTCACCATTATCTCTACTCTTATTGTCCCTAACTATTATCTCATTTCTCTTATCTCTTTCTACCCGTCCTACCCAATACATTATGAGTTCGGTAAAATACATATATTATATTTTAGAAAAATCATTATCTCATGTAACACAAATATCAGAAACTCAGATAATAAGCACATAAAGCATTTAGGCAAATTAGATACTTGATATCTATGTGTAAGTTGAAGGTAACTATGCACTCACCTGACAAAGGCATGTAACTCAAAGTTAGGGCAGCGCTTCGCCTTAATATCTTAGATATTATCTTGACATGACCTAAGTATGATTAATATAGAGTCTTAGTGTAATGATCCTGGTGACTAATAATAGTTTAGATCCTTACTAATCCCAATATATACAGTAAGATCTATTAAGTAAGGATCAACCAGGCATGACAGTTGGAGGTAGGATCATTTGGGCATATAGCTTTTATGAAATCCAACAACCAAGCCAACATGACCATTCTAGACACCTCTCCCGTAAGTAGATCAATCATTATAATGACTTGAAATTACTGATAGATCTTATTTATAGGTTCATAATAACGACTTATGATTATAAATATAAGTTACACTGAAAATAGAAGAGTGTAGCTTAACTTACAGGGGTTCAAACTGGAGATCAAACTGGGCAGAATATTGATTTAGGGACTTCTATTCGAAGGTTACAACTAGCTAAGTATTCAAGGGTGTCGCAGGGCTTTGCCGCAAGCCAGAAACTCAAGAAAAATGGCCTAAAAGTAAGGAATACTCGAGAGAGAATTTGTGTAGGGTGTGGGGGTGAAAGCATATATGAAGCTGACTATTTATAGGCAAGAAAAACATTGTGTGCCGCACACACTAGGCATGCACGTCACGCACTAGGGTAGTGCTGGCTCCTTTGGGCTTCTGCTACATGTCGTCACCTCGTTTGTCCGCGTACGCCTTTTCTAGAAGGTGTCATGTGTCTTATCTTCGTGGTGCCATGTGTCCAAATTCTGTGGTGTCATGTCACCTTGCCTTTTCAAAGATTAGGCGGTTGACCATGCCACATGTCGCCTCTAGAACGTGTCACGTCATCATACGCGCGGTGCGCTTCACACGCGCAAATTTCCAGATTTTCAAAATGTCGTAACTTCTTCATACGAGCTCTGTTTCGACATTATTTATATCCTCGGAAAGTCCTCGACGAGATCTACAACTTTCATTTAGACTCTGTCGGCTAATTTTGAGTTTATTTGTAAAGCTATATTTTTAACAGACTTAGACTGTTAAAGTCCGTTAAAAATCATAACAGTCTCATACGACATCCATTCTCGACTGTCTTTATATCAACAGAATCATATGGACGAGATCTTCAACTCTCTTTTAGATTGTTTTTCCTAACAATCAACCGATCTCTACTTCGGTTTCTGAGCCCTATATTGTTGTGCTAAAACTTCGAAAAATCATAACTTCCTCTTACAAAGTTAGATTTGGACGTTCTCTATATGCACGCTCTCGGTTTAACGACCACTACGACTTTAATTTATACCTTTTAGGCTAAAAAGCAATTTATCAAAAATTCATTTTTTACGATACGCAGCGACGTGCCAGTTTAATCGCAAAACTTCGAAGAAACATAACTTCTTCATACGAAGTCGGATTTCAACGTTCTTTATATGTATGGAATCCTTGTCACACATACCACAAATTGGTTAATATTATGCATTCTAAAGAATCCCCTCTTTAAAATTTGTTATTATGGCTTATATTAACTTATTTGTCTAGCCCGAATTTGCAGGTGTTATAGTGCATTGAGTTATAGTGTCATGTTACGACCAGTAGACGACATATATGGGTCATGGGTCATGTGCATTAGGTTATAATGTCATGTTACAACC